GGAGGAAATGGGGGCACCTTAAGAGGGAAAACCACGATGGAGGGGTGAGACAATGCAAGAGATAAATTATGCCCAGCTAGTTTTGAAAACCAGAGGGAACTATATTACTCCTACAACCTACTGACAAATTATACATAGCAGATCAAGAAATATATGTCTAGGTAAGGTTTATCTGAGAACAACTCGTCTTTGCCCAAGATTTATCTACATGATACACAGTAATTAAAAGTACCAGACTGGTGGAACTAACCTTCTTGGGTATTTAACAGACAAACTTTGAGTATACCAGACTGGTGGAACTAACCTTCTTGGGTGTTTAACAGACAAACTTTGAGTCCTAAAATAATTTGGTCAGAGTGACATAAAGGACACTTTTTGCTCCTTGCCCTCCTAGGTCAACTAGTTCCAGGGGACTATGAGCATCTCTCAAAATGTCCTATAATGGCGGTGGGTCACCCATCCTCTTCATGAAGGAGGCCGAGGATATCCCACCAGATGGACTTGAACCAGTGTCCTGTCTACAAAGAGGAGGGTCAACACAGAGGTATCATTTCCTCCATGCTTCCAAGTGAAGCCAACCATGGTCAAGTAGGACTGTTGACTTATCTTCACATAGGTGGAACTGGTAAAGAAAGGAGACAGGGGCTCCTCCCAAGCCCATGTGACCCCTGAGGAACAGATCCTCAAAAGACCTTAAGAGTAAAAATAAATTGGTTCATCTGGACCAACTGTATGGCCTTAAACACCCAAAAGGAAAGTATAACCAAAGATTAAAGGGGCCAATAGAATTTCTTAAGAGTCCATATGCATAGCTAAAGGCTACAGTAACAAGCAACAATGCCAGACAGGCGATACCGCCTTTTGAGTTGTTGGCCAAGGTGGCCAAAGGGAATCCCAGATAGTAAACCCAGCATAGAACTGGGAAAATGAACAGCAGACCCCAGTCTTATCTAAAGGAATATTGACAACTGATTGCTACTAGATGAGGAGCAGCTGACCTTCCTAAAACAAAGACCTCTAGATAGGCTGGCTAGATTCACCAGAAGGGCAAGTAGCAGGGAATGGCTCGGGGGGGGGGGGGTGGCACAACACAGCAGACAGTAGCTCTAGTGGTGGAAGGGAGGCTATGGGAGGGTGCCATCTGGGAAGTGGGTGTATAGTTGAATAAGATGGTTAGGGATGTTCTGTGTGATACACACACACAAAAAAAAAATCAAATATTTTTTAAAAATA